AGAGAGTTCAAATGAGAAAGAGAGAGAGAGAGAGAGTGCAGTTAAAAATAATTCTCRCACGCAATCCGTGGGACTGATTATTGCAATGTGAAAGCAAATTTTTCATAACTAGCCTTTAAAATGAGAAAAATGTCAGAGCTATTCTCAAGTTTCTGCTTTCGTTTCTGAATTTGCACTGCAAAGCTTGCCGGAATATCTCATGCTCTCAGTTAATTTACCTTCATCATATTGGTTCTCAGTTTTTTGGGCTCCATGTCACCAGACGCCTGCGCGGCAAACGTCAAATGTTCCCAAATGTAAACATTGGCAATTTGCTAAGACTGAAGAGAAGAGCGGCAATCAAATAGTTGTCCTGGATTTCAATGCATATGTTTGACAGTTATTGCAATAACAAAATAAACATAAATAAATATGTATGTATATTAATTTTGCCTATGGACCGAAACTGCTTCATCGATTGTTATCAAATTTGGACACTATTACTAAAACGAGGTATATTTAAAGTTGTACTTATTTATGGAATTTCAAACGGTTTACTGCATAAAAGATGTGTGTGGGGGTAATAGGGAAAGAATTACATTTTTGCGATCAGGCAATAAGTAACCTTAAGGTCTTTAATTTGAACATATTTCTCAATAGAATTGCCAAAATCAAAGAAAATGTTAAAACATCTCACCGGAATATGTTCGWGTAGTCTTTRTCTTAAATATATTTATATTCCAATTTGAGTATAAATAGTTTTGTTCTAAAAATTAATATTGGAGTATTGTTGTCACCAACAAAGGCGTCAAAAACATATGCTAAAAATTTAAAATGTTTGTAAAGATTGTTTTGSCTCTTGTATYTTCGGCTCATTCCTTAATTTTTTAWTTTTTACTTATATTTATATTTTTGAAAATAATCAGTAAGAAATTATCGCTTTCGCACCTAAAATTTTTAAWTGAGATATCTATGGCAAATCTTAGTGGATCCTTCATATCCGCATTTTCTCTTTCGCTACGAAGGGCATTATTTTATATTTTTCAGCGAATCTACTTCTGCAAAGCTACATTTTTATTCTGTATTCTTCTACATATATACACATTTTAATTAGACAAATATTATACCAAGAGCAAGACTATCTTGTCGCCAGACAACACCCACTTAACGGCATTCATTACAAATACAATCATGTTCTTAGTTGGCCGCCGAGTGGAAATATTTCACGGATGAGCACACCCCATTATAGCCGCAACAACAACTCTTTAATACATATTCAATAACTAACATTATCATTATATAAATTTCACACACGCACACACTTACATCTATTTATTTAGTAACACGCCCACATTCACCAGCCACCCAGGCACTTAAGCCACGCACTTAACCGACTTACACAGCTTAGAAGTTGAGTGGGGCAACAACGTCAATAGGACAGACTAAGTTGCCTTACAGCACACGTGCTACATACGTATATAAATATATGCACATATGGTTGCACCAAAAKTAAACATTAGTAAGACACACACTTATTAATTTCCCCATTTCTTCGCAGCTTTCCKTGCTTCTTTCCACTCTTTGTCATCTTAAGTGAATTAAAGGAAAATTGTGACGCGAATGAAAAGGAAGGAAAGGAATGAAACAGCCCGAAGTCTCACGACAAATATACCTAGGACTTTGAATAGACGTAACGAAGCAAATAGTTGTGTTCCCTTTTCCCTTAAAATCATGGGCAGCAAGCGCGCTCTCATGCATATATATATATATGAGGGTATAATTTGGCCAACTTTTATAACGGAATTGAGCAAAAGGAAATACCTAACATTAAAAATAACAGACAAAGCTATTTTCTACAAAAGTTCAAACGACCTAGTAATAAATAAAAGAGATGCCATACCAAAAATCGAGAACAGATACGCAGAAGTAACTGTTGATTGTAATCGAAGAAACATTACAATTAAAAGTCAGTATCAACATTAGGCACGAGGCTACCAACACATCACACAATCGTAAACGAAATCTTCGCTTTTCTTCTTTTTTGGACTGTCGAACAGTCGATCAAACGATAAAGACTATAAACGAAAACTGTAGCGGAAGGTAAATACTTTTTTTGGTTTGTAACTAACGAGCCGACACGCTCATTAAAGGCCGGTTCGCGTGTCACGGAAGGAGGGCAGAAGAAAGGAAATAGCCGCTTAGCTGCCATGGCGAATAATAGTTGCAGCAACAATGGAAATTGGAGCCACAATACCTATGATACCTACAGACGTATGGATGGAGTTATTAGGAGTTGACACGGTTGAAAAGAAACGAAGTAAACTTATCAAATTGCAAATGATGGAGGGCGCGGCTTTACGGGTTTGATACTTTCCTGCTTTAGTTGCCGAATGACACGCTTTGCGCCAAGCGAGTCGTGACGAGAAATAAATCAAATTGATATATATGTATTTATATGTATAAATAAGTACTTTTAAATGAGCTGAAATGCTTTCCAGTATACAAAAAGGAAGAATCAAGCGACTTCTAATAGACAAGAGCATAAAACTCAGAAAATGCTGCACGAAATACACACCGTCACATCATTGCACCTACTTACATATGCGCAACACATACGTGTGCGTATTCATGCATCCGTGTGGCAATCTGTCGCACATATGCTTACGTCGTTTTGTCCGTCCGCTGTGAGGACAATGGCACACATTTACGTAGCGGTATTTCCCAGGTCTGCCATGAACAAAAGTCATGCGGCACAATGGCTCGAAACTGTTGAAGTGTTGGGAACCGCATGAGGTGCTCAGACATCACAGACGGCGATAAAACAGAGGAGCAGTGACGCCATTGACTCCGAAGCAGTGTCGTTACACACTTATATTCTACTTATAATTACAATGTGTTGAGTAAGCAAATGTAATTAAGCTATTTACGGCAAAGAGAACTGTAAATCACTACATCAGTATAAATGAGTGTCGATATGTATATTAGGAGCCTCCATTTGGAGAACATAATACCCATATTGAGTATTTTATTATTCATTGCTTTGATTATAATTGTTTATTATATATCAATTTTAAACGGATTAGTTAAATCTTAGATTATAATATGTGTCAATATACTATACAAATCAACAAGTTAAGTGAAGGACAGTGAAGAATGTTCCATGAAGAAAATAATAACAGAAAGGAAATCCGTTTATTAACAATACACTATTTCGAAAATTGATATTTTTCGTATGGCAAACGAAAATGCGGTATTTTTAGGTTGCACGCGTTCTACAAACCACGATTGAAAATCATAGGATGTCAATTCTTTTGTACTATAATCACTCATTGAAGAGTATTTTATACGTACAGACATGTGCTATGTGTGTATGATATGTAGTAGTGGATTTGTATCTTATACTATATATTGAAGACACCGACAAGGACAGAGTCAAAGTGTACAGAAAATAATTAAGTTCTTTGGGTAATAAGTGGTTTATAGTGCATGGGATACAAGTTAACTGTAAAGCCTTTAAGCTTGTGGTTGAGCAAATAGGTATTTATTTACATTGGCAGGGAAGAAAATCCCTGAAGAGCTGTTATACAATATTAAGGACAAGAAATCGTTAACTTAATCGAAGCTATAATACCTTTTGCAGGTGCATTTTTCATAGTACAAAAGGGTATAAAAATATATCCTGCAGCAGCACAAGGATCCATTCTAGRCCCAGACTGGTGGAACATTAGCTAAGCCGCTATGCAAAAACTCGAAATGTCAAATGAATCGTTTGTAACTTAGCTACACGCACAACATTGCAGCACGAGCCACTCAAGAAGCGCGAAGAAAGCTTACCTGTAACCAGATCAGGATACAAACGCAAGCATGGCTCGACTCACACAACCTCCAGCTTGCTACGGAAAAAACAGAGCTGYTGCTGCTAACAAATTAGCACATACTCCTGGAAATAAGTATGCAAACGACTACGGATAGCCTTAGGACACAAAATGTAGTAAACTACGTAGGCTAAAGACTGAACCACAGACTAACCATGTGGGTACAAATCCAGCACGCCGCAGGAAAGGCAACAAAAATCACTTTCCAGCTTAAGAGACTAATGGCCAACACAGCATGCCCCAGCCAAGAAATCACCTAATGTCGATGCAATCAGCATCATATTTTACGGAGCTAATATCTGGGGAGATATACTTAAAAAGGCGTAAACGATTGGCCAAAGTGCACCGCACCGAGGTCTTCCGAGTTCCATCACTCTACCAAACAGTGTCAGGCGACGCAATTTCAGTTATAAGTTKTACTGCTCCAATTGACCTCCTAGCATACGAAAGGAAAAGCTATAGGAGCTAAAGAAAACACCCGAAAATAACAAGAGCACAATAGAACAATAGAACAAATAAAGAAAGATACAATAACAATAACAACATGGAAACGAATATGGAGGAATGAGAGTCACGGYTGATGGACGGCTAGACTAATAAAAGGCCTTAACTTATGGACAAGCCGTCAATTTGAAAATGTCGACTTTTAACATACCTCGGATTCCTCAAAAAGTACCTCCACAGAATCGGAAAAGTCGAAGAACCAACATGACAGAARACGACGTTGAGCAAACATTCCTCGAATGTGCTCGAGAACGCCTCGCCGCCTGGTGTGTTTAACAAATGGGGACAACTGGGGGATAAACCATAAATTCACACGGATGGGTGGAAGAYGTAAAAAAATACGAGTGGTCTCACGTAATTCGCTCGATTAGTAACAAACCTAACCTACATCTGATATTCTATCAAAGCCGTACTGTAGTCTTAAGTATTATATAAAYTCTATCAAGCTCTCCTAGAACCACCAATTCCGGAACTTATCTTAAGCAAAGACTTCTTCACATCAACGAACCTCTAAAATATTCCTAACTGATTAGCGTACTTTAAGTATTTTCATTGAATTGTTTACATTTTTTATTGCTTCTAAATTCGTTATTTACACAATTGTTATTTACATAAAATATGCAAAATTCTGGGAAAACTCACCTTCAGTTGTGTATTTTCGGTTGTATTCCAGCGCTAACAGCTCTCACAGCARATTCCACTGAACTTCTGGTTGCAACTAATTTAATTACCACTTGCTGAATAATTGCAATTTCCACAGATTTGCTTTTCTGTTTGTAACACACAACGACACTTCAACTTTTGCGAAACACTGATAATGCCGAGTTCAACCAATACATACAGACAAGTACTCTGCGCTTTTTGTTATTACTATTACTTGTTATTGCTTATTATTATTCTCAATTTTCGCGCAATCAATTCGTACATTTCAGGGGCACTCGCACACTTTATAGCCGCTGATGCTAATTTAATTGCGGCTGCTGTATGTGAATTAAAATAACAAATAGCGCTGCCGTATCAAGTACTCACACGCGCTTAACTGCACTGTCCGTGTGTGTGAGGGTGTGCGTGCGACGGTGTTTACATAYACACTCCTTATCGCTAAAAATATTACACTTGTTAATTCCTAGCATTTATGTATTCTTCTCATTGCGAATTTTTTCTTTATTTTTGTTGCACGTTAAAAAATGCTCAAGTAAATATTTACGCTATACATAAATCACAAGACAATCGCTTGTAGTCGAAAAGAGGAGTGGCGTGAAACTAGGCGCATAACTGCACAAAAACATTTGCGCATTTATTCGATTCTCGTAAGATGAACGAGCACAACTTATTGTATCCGAAACGGTGCTTCTTCTCGTCTTCTGTTATCATCTTTTTTGACGACCCGAGTGCAATGATAAATTTACGCATTCGCTTTTCTTTACCCAAACTATGAACTCGCCTAAAAGCCATTGACATTCCAGCTAAAAGCCGAATAATCGCCGAAATATGTGATGCCGTAAGATCTCGTTTAGAGAAACAAAACATAGGCGAACGAAGTCATCTAACAATGAATTTGTTAATGGATTTATGGCTAATAACAAAGCGATCATAGTAAAAGGAACGAAAAAACGCCGTCGCTTCGCTGTGAGCATTGAAGTAAATATGTAACTATGTATATATGTGCGTTTGTGTGTATTTATAATTGTTTAAGGTCGATTCGTTTGGGCACTTTGCTGATAAGGAAATTATTTATAATAAACACGCACAAGAAAACACTCAAAACAATCAGACCAATTTATTTAATCTCGCTGTGGATTAACTGAAAATAATATCACGTGTGAGTATGTGTGTTCGTATGCAAATRCGAGTGAATCAACAAGACCGATTACAAGGGACGCTGCAAAAAGTACATTCATATCAATGTAAGCACAACAACGCAATAACAACGTAATGCATGTTTGTGCCTGCCTGTGCATGCCTGAGCACTGCAATTGACGGCACAAAATTGCAATAGCGACTGCATTTATAATTTTACAAAATTACAGAGAACTTTCGAGCGYAGTAATGCAAACTTATATAAATGCATTTATATTTATACATATACATATGTATGTATTTATATATATTTGCATATGTATATWTTATATACAMATGTATTTGAGTGCTTTAATATCGGTWTGTAAAATCTAGCTTATAAATATTTTTGCTTTTATGGAAAGTACACAYATCTACATACATACATACATACATAGATTTAGAAATAAACCAATTTGAAGTACCGATTTCGGTGGTATAACGGTGGAAAAGTAATAACTTGGGGATTACCTACATAAATATAATCCACGAACAGCCGACCGACTGACTTGTTGACAATAAAGCGCTTATAACGCGTATTTTATTAATGCAAATCGATAGTTTATTCATACATTTTATTATCGAACTAGCAATATAAATATTATGCATATATTTATTCGCAGGGAAATAAGCAACAGAAGCATGAGAGTTAAAACATATGTGAAATATAGCAAAATACTAAGAATTTTTATATGAAATTTCCCAATTTTTTTTTTTTTTTTTTTTTTTTTGATCATTTATGCTATTAAAATACCATACTCAAATTTTAAATGAATACTTAAAAAAATGTTGGGTTACAGGGTTCTAAAGTGTACCTGCTCATCTCAAAGTGCTATGTTCAATTATAATCTTGAAAACATCGTTTTTTTCATTATACACACAGAAAAATCCATATCGTTCCGGTTAATATCTTCGAAGTTACACGCAAATTTGAACAGGCGTTTCAGAGTGTTTAAAAATGCATTCTGAACTTCAAACGCAGGAACATTTTAACATTGAACTATTTATCATTAAATGCGTTTTTTTCGAAAGACCCTTTTTGGGTTTGCTTTATTGAGTACCCGTGAAGAAATGATTCGATTCCTTTCAAAATATTTCTGCAAGTTCGGTATACATATGTACTATATATAATATGTACATAGTTCTCCAATTACTTAACATGGTTTTGATCTGATAAATAATCAAATTTTTGCTTTTCATTTTCAACCGTAGCTGATTGTACAGTCAATTTAAAAAACTTAAGCTCAGATTTATTGCATGCTTTTAGCCTGTGCATGGCGCACATTTATACGGCTTAGATATAGTATGTACTTCTGGCATTGGAATCTCTGAATTTTCGATTTCATACAATTTTCACCCAGCTCTTGTTTGTTTAATTGCTTGCAGCTTGAGTATAGCGAATTATAGCAATTTGATTACTACAAACGTGAATAGCATATTTGCATACATACAGACATAATATAATTGAGGCATTTGACTTTGTGTTGTTCTTTAATAAAATTGTTATTGAATTATTAATTAATTTAATTTCTGCACTTAATTTGCCACGCTGTGGATTTTTTAATTTTTTTTTTTTAATTTAAGTAATTTTATTAATTAATAAAGGAATAAGAATTCAAATTTGATCAATATACTTAATTCTCAACAATTTTTTAATATGAATTATGTATAAAAATTTAATAGACATTTCTTCCATCACATTTCTTCGTGCTGTTACTGTCGCTGTGTGCGTATTTTTCAAAAAATTTCATTCTGCAATTGCCCTTTTGGGGGTTGTTACTATACGCCATTAAATGTAGCCGAAACAAAATAATCAATATAAGAACCGCGGCGTACGGAAATTGAAATTTTTATCAAAGGAAAMATTCATAATCATAAATCAATGTGAATAAAAATAGATAAGTGTACAGATGTCACTATATGAAAGTAACATTTCAAGCGCTCAAAGCTTCAGACTGATATCACGGCTTTGTCAAATGCACCAGCATGTGGGCACATAGGTGTGTATGTACATACATACATATATGTATGTAACTATTTATATGATGAATATACAGTATCACTTAAGCGAGCATAACGGTACTTTTATCAGTGCCACAACTGAAATGTTATTAAGTCGCCTCACTTGTCTGTCAATCAGTCCGCCTGCCTACTAAATGCCACTAAGCGAAAGCACACATACACACGTGCATAAACCGTAAATAAATAAAAATATGTTTCTGCCCATGCACCTGCACATACATACATATAAACATATTTATGTATACATATGTATAATCATACTTATCTACAAACTAAATCTAAACATATGTATGTACACGGTTTAGTGTTCCGAAATGCAAAACTCTCGTCGGCCGGTTGTCGCACTGACCGGCGGCACTGACATTTATTGGATAATTGATAAGACAGTGCGACGGGTCTGTCAGCTCAACGTGAGCGACTGCTATCTGCTGTATGTATGCACACAAACTTCCCATAAAAAGCACTATAACAACCAAAATTGCTTTCAATTTCACAAATTGCTGGCTGACTGGCATGTGTWAAGGAGCTGCTAAAAATAGCTCAAGCCAATTGTTTGTTGGATAATAAAAAAGTGACTAGCTCACCATATGTAATTAAGCAGCGTACATACATTTGTGTACTAYATGTCTCACTAAATTACTCACATTTCACTTAAAGCGTTTGTTCTTTTTTGCCACCGCAAGCACTTTTAACTTTCTGTCGATAATTTTAGCTTTGCAGCACTAAAACGTTCGGCGTCCATTGATTTCTTTGCAGCAATTAAATATGAATGGCGAACCAACTGAAAACAATAACAACAGCAGTCACTCACACACTGCCATGTGGTGGCTCTAATGTTTGGCAGCCGAAAGTGCGCGGCGTATTGGCGTCACACCACYCGCCGTCAAGTTGACAGTGGCAGTGACAGTGGCAGTGATCGGCGCTCTTTGCGGCAAGTGCGCGGCCACCGACGCCACCACCCATTCAGCCACCCAAAGTAAACACGCCAAAATAGTGTGAGTAAAGTGAATAGAAAGGCAGCACAGGAAAAGCTATAAAAGTCCAAATAAACGGTGCACTTTAAAGCAAATATTTTTATTTTCAATTTCGACTTGTTTATGCCATTACTTTCAAACACACGCTGATTTCTCTAGCTGCATCGTGGCGATTGCTGCTCGCTGCTTTTGGCTGTCACCAACGCCACGAAAAAGTTCTTGCAAGCAAAGGTTTATTTTTGGTTGGTTTCACTAGCTCGTCGGCGGGCTTACCCAAACAATMAAATGGCCAATTGTTACACCTTTTACTCGATGTGCTGTTTATTGTTGGCGGTGGTTTTCTGCAATTTCAATTTGATTCTTATTGTGGCTGGTCGATGCCTGCTTTATTGAGAAATTTTCACCAATTCAACGCGCACTTTCTCAAGCAGCCGAAACGCAAGAGCAAAACTTTTGGGTCACTTGGCAGCRGCAGCAAAAAGGAAGGCAAAAGCATAAGAGCACATGCAAACAATCAAATGATGGGTATTGAAAGAAATGAAAACTCGAAATAGCCACAACAACACGCTTTGTTGAGAAAGCTGGTACCGATGGCTTAATATCAGATTTATTGCCATCTTTTCACATTTCTATTTTTGAATTATTATTTATTCTTACTGCTTTGGCCACTTAATCATGGAGTACTTGTGACGTATATGGAGACTTATGTATCTTCATCCAAATAAACAAACAGCARGGGGAAACTAACAACAACTTTAGCCTACTAATTCACGCCACTCAGCTTTTTTCGTCTGCACGCAGCCTTCTTCGCGCTTCGCTAATTTAATTCTTTAACGCATTTTATATACTTTTCGGTCAAAACTGTTGTCAACTGTTGCCAATGTGCCAAATTTTTATATTTCAYAAGACTTTTTCACTTTTCCTGAATTCACGAAAAGATTGCTAAATTGTTTTCTTTTTCGTGTGGTAGAATTCAATGRGTTCCACCAAAAAACTAACCACTCACTGAAAATTCAGAGAGAGAAATCGCGCGCG